TATAAATCTATAGATTAATTTTTATTACATTCTTTCTAGTATTTTGCAAGATAACTTCTTTATGAAAATTCTTGTTAATTTAAATCGTACATCTCTATAAAGGACAATATCATTGAATTTATTAGTATATTATGTTATAAATATTTACAACATCACAATTGAACTATTTTTGTATTTTTGTATTTTTTAACTGCTCGTTCTACAGGTCTTATAGAGAGTTGCCGTCCAAATGCTTTTAATATTACACCATTGTCTAAGTGAATACGAATTTTCACCACATCTTTTGGTATTGCTGAAAATAAAATTTAGTAAAAAAAAGTGTTATTGACAATACAGAAAAAAAACTAAATTTTTATAAAAAATTTGTTACACTAATATATATGCAATAGTAGAGAGAAAGGAAACTAAGTTTATATCTTATAATAGATATTATATATAGTATGTTTCTGCTACAGGAGAATCACATATATCTGCAAATGTATTTGACAACACTTGCCGCTTACTTCGAATAACATTGTCCAGCCCACAAATCCTAAAAGTGTTTTTTGTATCTTGTATGACAATCCCTGTAAGTCCTACCAAAGTCGGGCATTTTGATTTATCAATTGAAATTTTAGCACCATGAAAATCAGCTTTTATCAATTGCTGATTTACATTCTCCCAATTTGGATTATTAGAGTTTTCAGGTATACTGGTAAATGACTCGACACCAAGCATTTTTCGCATATAGTTCAACCACAATTGGTTTAAGGGCAAAAGATCGGAATATTTTATTTGACTCTTGTGACTAACTTTGCCCAAATCAAGATGTAATCTTTTCCTAGCTGATAAGAATTTGCCTCTGTGATCTCTTTTTCGCTTACGCTTAACTTTGAACTTATTAAATATAAAGGTCTGAAAATTTACACATAAAAGAATAACACTTCAGTTAATCAATCTGTATAATTGGCTCTTCCGTTCATCTTGTTACAAACATACCTTTCGCATCTCGTCTGAGATAGATTTGCAGTCGGACGGTGGCAACAAGTTTTGCAAAAAGTTGACAACATATTGCTCATTGTTTTCACAAATCTTAATGCTATCAGTTAAATTCCTGGGAAGTGGCGTGCACAATTCTGAAAACAATAGTTGATATTTGAATAAGAGAAAAGAGACATTATGTATTTGTATTGCTAGACATATTATATATTTGATTGATATTTACTCGTTTGTTGCGACATAGTTTTGTCCATGAAGGAAGAGTAAGGAGAGTTATCTCGATAGTGTAGAGAGAAAAAAAGTGGTCACGAAAAGTGTTCCGTATGTGGCCAGGTTTGCCAAATGGAATGACTTGGAGTCCAAGTCTTGGACCAATTCGTCGCCATCTTGAATATTCGTACATATATAGTGTTATGTTTAGTATTAGTGATCAGTTGCTTGGGTTTTGGGATTGGCTCCAGCGAGTACTCGCTATACGGCCATAAACTGGTTTTTAAAGATAGAATAATGTCGTAGATAGAGAATAATGTCGTATATATGAAGGTTCCTCTTGGGGGAAGGAAGGAATTTGTGTTAGGGAGGTGGTAGGAAAGGAAAAATAGGAAAAGCGCAGGCCAGGGTCGGAGTCGGGAATCGAACCCGAGTTCTCTGGGATGTGAGTCAGGCGCGCTACTCCCTGAGCCACCAGAGGCCCCTTAGTGATCAGTAAAGGCCGGTATTCATAGTCCGTTCTTATATCCAAGATCGTCTTAAGTGTGGTCTTGGGTCGTCTTAAGATCCCATTCAACCAATGAAATGGCCGCATAGTATCTTAAGATCGTACTTAAGACGATCTTGAATATAAGAACGGACTATGAATACCGGCCTAAGTGTGTGGATGACACACTACCAGAGTATGTCCTTTTCTACGTGGGCATCGGCCCCCACTCCTCAACACTCGGTCTAGATATACTATGTCTATGCACACTACTTACTGGGCCTCCGGTGGCTCAGTGTGTAGCGCGCCTGACTCACATCCCGGAAGATCTCGGGTTCGATTCCCGACTCAACCCTGGCCTGCGCTTTCCCATTTTTCCTTTCCTACCACCTCCCAACAAAAATTCCTTCCTTCTCTCTCTTCTCTTCTTCCAGTATATACGCATAAAAACTGAATTTACACTCTAATATAACCTGTTGTTGGCCCGAATACATGACCCACCCCAGATCATTACGGCCATTTAAATATTAAGAATACACTACTTACTAATTACTACCACAACTAAACGTAACACTATACATATACGAAGATTCAAGATGGCGACGAAATGGTCCAAGTTATTCCATTCGGCAAACCTGGCCACATACGGAACATTTTTCGTGACCACTTTCAATCTAGGTAGATAACTCTCCTTACTCTTCTTTCATGGTTTTGTCACACGTTCAATTTTAAATTAATTCAATTTATTTGTGCAATATGTCGAGTGTAAACAGCCTGTCTCAGATGATAGACGGCATGATGTTTACATCACGATAGACGACCTCCTTTTTTGCGCATGTGCAACGTGCAACGATGGGAGATGAAGGAACAAACCACGCGCATGCGTAGTAGCCAAAATAATTGTAGTAAAAAATCTAACCTAATGTCATTTTTATATCACTTTTAATTCTTTATACTTTATAGCATCAATTAACGATTTTTATGTTTTAAACCTTTATTTTTATACCAAAAAGTGTCGAATATATTTTTATTAAAATTAAAAATGAGCGAGTTAAATTAAACATTTACCGACAGTTTCATTCTGAAAGAATGTAAAGTGATAAATGTGTAATATTAGTTGCCGAAAAATCGCGATAATAATGACGAAACAAATTACGACAGTGCTAATAGACCTCAGTGGAACATTGCATATTGATAACACAATTATTCCAGGCGCTGTGCAAGCATTAAACAGGTATTGTTCACATTTTTAATGTCTAATTGGAATGTACAATACCGTACATATATGTCGTATCGCATGTATATACGTATATGTATGTGTGTACAAGCATACACATGCAAGATATACCGGCAATTTAACAGCGCAGTCTCTGTAAAAATGATCCAATTTTAAGTTTCTCGATAAAAAAATAGAAATTTATTTTCTTTCTCTTTTCTGTAATATGATAATAAAAAGTATGTTTTTAATGACAATGGTTTCTTTGATCATCGTGACGTCTTGTTCACGAATTGATATATATATCACATCTCATAATATATAAATAAATTTTTTAAATCTCAACTAATAAATGATGATTGCTCGTAAAGAAGAATTTCTCGCGTATTAATATTGCAACAGTCATCAAGCAATGTTTTATCATTGATTTCATATCAAGAAAATTTTAGCCTTTTAGAATCACGAATTTAAACTTGTAATCTAGGCTACGACATGCAAACTTGTCGATTAAATTTGTTACAAACACTACCAAAGAGTCAAGCAATTGTTTGTATGAGCGTCTGACAAAACTTGGATTTGACTTGCGGAAGGATGAAATCTTCAGTTCTTTATTTGCGGCGAGAAAATTGATTATTTCTCGACAGTTGAAGCCATTACTATTAATTGATCCAGCAGCGATGGAAGATTTTCAAGATTTAGTAACAGATGATATACCAAATGCAGTGGTTATTGGTTTAGCGCCAAGTAAATTCAACTATGATGAGTTAAACAAAGCATTCAGGCATAGTATCACATTTATAATTGTCTTATAAATTAAGCACATAAAAATATAATATAAAAACATAACATACAATTTCAGATTGCTTTTGGACGGTGCGTCGCTCATAGCTATTCATGAAGGACGATATTACAAGCGTCCTGATGGTTTAGCTTTAGGTCCTGGAGCATTTATCAAAGGTTTAGAGTATTCCAGCAATGTGAAAGCGGAAGTTGTTGGTAAACCGACCACAGAATTTTTTAAAGCAGCTTTAGGAGATGTAGACCCAGGACAGGCTATAATGATTGGGGATGTAATATTCCAAATATCATCCTTTTTTTTGTACTTAATTCTAATTTTTTATGTGATATTATAAATTTATGATTAGGATGTGAAAGATGATGTAGCTGGTGCACAGGCAGCTGGGATTAAAGGTATACTAGTACAAACTGGCAAATATAGAACAGGAGATGAGAAGACGATTACTCCAGGACCAACAAAAGTATGTAGTTCTTTCGTACAAGCCGTCGAGAGTATTCTCGATGGAATTGTTTGAATATTTGTTTGAGAAAATTATTAAACAAATAGTAATAGTATTCTTTATTCAAATATTGCTGCACAGGTGGACAAATGTAATCTGTTCTATATATATTAAATTATATACTTTATTTAAATACTGATTTTTTTTATTTTTTATAGTGTACATAGTTTTCAGTGATGCCATATTATCATAAAATAAACAATAAATAGAAATAGAAATTAATGTCTATTTTTTTCTGATATGGAGCTTTACATATCTCTCTCATTCTGCCTATTAATATAATTAATTTCAATGGTAATGTATTACAAATCGGATAAATATGAAAAAGTATTTTCAAGGATGATAGAAATATCGTCTCATTACATACATTCGTAGAAAACTGTAGAAAATTTGACTTGTTTGCTGGAAAATTTAATAAGTTTCATGTCAGAACAGTAAAATGTATTTTATAAAGCAATATGACAAACATTCAATATTTTGCAGAGACGATATTAGTCTAATCTTGTTCTAAAAAATTATAAATTTAATATACATATTTCGCTAGATAGCCTTATACATCATAAGTAGTACCACTATAGAAACTACATTAATGAAGCAGGTTTACAGAAATAAAGTACTCCCTGTCGAAAAAGTACAATGTGTTACGAGTATCGTCTTCAGTATAAAATTTGGCACCCGATCTTACTACTTTTTTTTTTTTTTTACACAAGTTGAAACAAGATGAGAAATTGATATTTTGATTTTTTACTCTATTGACATTCTAGTATTAATACTTCAATTTTCTGTGCATAAGTATTATGATATTTTGAATGAAAAAACTAAATCTATATCATCTCTAACAGCATTCAATGAAACTAAAGTTGCATGCTACAAAATAAATAATGGATAAAAATTCATAATGCTAGTGGTAACTTTTCTTATGATTTATATTATATCATTGATAATGTAATCAAGAAATGATAATGTACTCTCTCTCTCTCTCTCTTTCTTTATGATTGTATATCTTGTAATTATGGGCTCTTTTTCTCTTTAAATATCAATACAAGTCATAATCGAAATGCCCTCTGTAACTTATAATCTATCATCAGGCACATCTTGATTACTTCCACATTATGGTAATAAATATGTCTAAAGTAAATGATCTGTTAAAAAAAATAAATAATGGTTAATTTCGATTCATGCAAGAAATGCATCTATATAGCAACACTAATATGTACAGCATATTTGCAAACAATTATATGATGAACTGAATAATACATTAATTATATTGACAATCTTATTATATATATAATATTATTATTATATATATATATATATATATATATATTATAGTCGTCGTTGCAATAAATAATTGAAGTAATTTTAAGTCAAAGGCGATTTATAGTTCTTATTTTTTTATGACACTATATTGGGATATTTAAGAGAAAACTATATTATATTTTAATTTTCATTTGGTTCAAAATTACTTTTTAAATTTAATACCAATATAAAAAAATATAGGTTTACTGTGCACAATTTCTTTCAAAAAAACTCTTCTAAAAATAACAAATCAGGCAATTTTAATAATGTAGAATAATACAATAATTTCTGCCAGCTATATATTCATGTATTCTCTTTAATCAAGAGAAAGTTTCTTTATCGTAATGTTTGAACAATATCTCCACGCAAGAGAAAAAAAAAAAAAAGGAAACGATTTCTAACATAAAGTATTAGCAAAGCAGGATTTAATCTAAGTTTGATAATAAATAAAATGTTGCATTTATGAAACACATTATCTAGTACCTAGTACCAAAAAATGACAATGAGACATTTACATTGATGAGATTTGTGCTTCTATGCACGTGCAACTTTAATAAACGATATTATATTTCATAGACCATATTAATAAAAACTAGTACAATTTCTTTTTTTGACAATTTAACTGTTTGCAGCAATAGCAAATGTCATTGGCTTTGAATTGTTCGCATAATAAGATTTGTTAAATTTTTATTTATATGACCTACTATGATTAATGGACATTATTCACAGTCGTGTTCGCATATGTACAACTTATAGAGAAATCGAACATGTTAACATAAAAACAACTACATCATTTTTATTCGTTATAAATCTCTTTTCCAAGATCAAATTCTGTTAAATACTGTAGTATTCTTCAATATTTATGATATTATCAATGGTATATACTTTGATATTGAATTAATTTTACACATAAAATTTCACTTTTAATGTACATTCAATCCCTAATCTATATTTTATTAACTTTATTAACTTATTTTTTATTTGATTAGAACAGAATTTGACCTTATTACACTGCAGACAAATACATTCTCTTATTTTTTATGCAAACAATAGGAAATATTGAACTTCTCTCTCTAATTTGGCTATTTAAATATAATTTGATTAATGGTAAATTGACATATCCTCTTTCTTCTCTCTTTCTCATATATATATGTATATATATATTTCTCTCTTTTCTTCGCTCTCTAATGTAACAAGGCAGGTGTGGAGTATACATTTTGCATGCATGTAACAAAACATTATACAATTTCTCTCATGCCTTCAATAAATATTCAATACTTTTATTACAATACTAAAACAAGACAATCCTATGTATTGATTATGGGAGGAAAGTTTAGCTAAACTAGAATTAATAAAGAAAATTTGAGAAGCATTTGTGAGAGGATCACCTGGATCCTATTAGACCTAATAAAACCAACAATTTTTTCGGCCATGCGGTCTATCCCCTTTCTTTTTATTTTATTATTATTTTTTGCATTTGTGCTATACGCTTTCTTATTGATACTTCTGATGGGAAGACGATAAGTGGCTGACAACAAGCACTTTAAATTCTAGATCCAGGTACAAAAAACATGCTATTCTCAAGCAGATTAATCGAGAGTAATGCTCCATTGTGTGAATTTGGCCGCGGGATGCAGGTGTGTATAAAAGTGAGCAATTTATACATTAATACTTCCACACATTATTGCCTTTGAACTTCACGTATTATATTCTAATACTCCAAATATGCCTCGCTCTCTTTCGCTCCTGCCTCGACTTCGCATGAAACATTTGTTAAATCCAGGTGATCGTTTCCTAAGGAAAAAGTGGCACAAGGTACCATATTCTGCAAGTAGCCCACTATGTATTTTCCATTATTCTGAAATTAATCAATTTTGTTGCAGTTTTTATTCAGAATTGATGAAAAAAAGGGAAATATGCAGAATATGCAATATCTTACCATGGTATAAAACCAGGCACACTGTAAAGACTCGCGATGCAATGTTAATTCTAACTATTTAACAGGGCGATAATGAAGTGTTAAATCTGTCGAACTTTTCCAGATGAAATGTCTAACCTGAAAAGCCATCAAACATATGTAAAACCTTTTTTCAACACAATAACAAAAGCTGTTTCGAACTTTATACACACCGTTCTCAAATCCATTGAAGGATCCAAAACCTGATCGTTACATAGCAGTTCGACTTTTTCCTCGGCCAGTGAAGAATTATCAGCATTAGAATCTGTATTTGTTCTATCGCCCGCCGGTGATCCACTTGAAACAGTATTTCCACCTCCAGCTACCGAACCTGAATCGCTTCCTGCACCGAGCACTTTATCGTAAACATGCTCCGCCACTTTACGCACTTGTATAAAATCATTTGCAATTAAACGGTCCCTTAAAAAAAAAATAACATGTAAGATTATTCAATCATGTTAAGATATGATTTTAAGATTTAACAATGTGACACGTACTTCTTCAAACTTTTTACACCTGAAGAAGCATGTGGAAGAAGATAGAAAGGTATTTTAATGAATTGTGGAAGATTCTTGTCCACAACGATATTCACTACCCATGGTGGTACAGTTTCATTCAATAGGACACCTTCGGTTTCTCCTGCAGCATCTCGAACTAATAATCGGTAGATAGTTCTACCTCCCACTTCACTGAAAAGTAAAAAAAAGATATGATAAATTTATTTAATAAAATGTTTTTTAACAGTCTCTGCATACCTGAAAATGACAGGTGTATGACTAGGTACTGAGAAGTATGGATTTCCTCCATTTGTATGTATGGGACCGTTTCCGTCATTGCCATTACCTTCATTCTCGTCGTCAACGTGCAATGGCCTCCACCAATGTTCAAGTAACGCTTGTAACAAAAGGTTTCCATAATTCACTAAAACATTGAGAAAACATTACAAATCTCTAGATTTAATACCACGAATATTATTGATGAATAAACAATTGATCACCTTTCTGATCTACAGCATCATTCTCTGCTAGACCAGTCTCTTTGGCAGAAACCCATGCAGAGAAACAATCATTTTCGTCTTGCCCTAAGTGTATAGTTAACATCTGCAATAATTGAGAATATTTAAAACTTAGATTCAAGCCTGAAAAGCAGTTTGATCCAACAAAGAAATACATACTCCTGTTTTGAGATCAACATTAAACCAGTTTGGAACATACACCACTTTATTTCTTTTTTTACACTCCTGATCGAAATCGACTCTGCCTAAATCTTCCACTTTACACGCCTTCAATACATCATATAATGCAACATTCTCTTCTGTATCTTTTGTTAAAACGTGTCTTTTATCATTTAATATGTGATAATGTCTTATGGCAGGACCTCCTAATATCTTTTGTGCAGGTTCAGTATTTCTTAAAATGTTGCTCGATACATTACTGGCAGAATCACAATAATCTCCAAGTCCTAATTCTTGCCAATCTTTCTGACTTATGGACTGAAATATATAACAAAAAATATAGTTTTTTTTATGCATTCTCTCTTTTTATACAAATTTGTTACTGTAGTATAAAACTTTACCCAATTATTAATAGTTGATTCGCTGGTTGCAACCCAAATACTAGATTGATCTGGCGTCATAGCCATTTTGAGTATAGGCGCTTTTTCCTCACAAATAACTGTATATCTCTCTGCATAACTTAATTCTGTCATCACTACTCTCTTATCCCTGCCTCCAGATATTACATGACTAAAATTATCTGTTGCCTAAAATACATTAGATTTTCAATATAATAAAGTATACACAACAATATTAATTTTATTTGCATAACAATTCTATTGATAACTTTGTATATATAATTACCAATAACGCCCATACTCCTTCCTTATGAACTCTGAACGTTTGCACGCATCTTTGTTGACCAAGTGACCATAATTTGATAGTGCCATCGGAACTTGCCGATAAGCACTGCGTACCATCCCTATTCAGGACTAATGCTTTAATATTGTCTGTGTGACCACGAAGTTTCATGAGTTTGGTACAAAATCGTGGATCCCATACACGAAGAACTTTCTCTGTGCTGCCACTCACGATAATCGTGCCAGTCTGGTTCATGGCAAGGCTATATATGGAATCTCTGTTTCCACTCAGGGATGATGCTACAATGCAGTTTAATATGTTAATTACATGTAAAAGAGACAAAGCGCAGTACTGAATATATGATTGCAAGTACATACTTGTCACTGTGTTATTACTCGCAGTAAGAGCAGTCAACGTATTGACATCCCACAGAAATATCGACTTGTCTAGACCCGCACTAGCAACTTGCTCTCTATCTTTGGCATATGCTAATGCTTTGACATAGTCTTTATGTGTGCGCAGTGTTGACATACAAAAACCTTTATGCGCATTCCATACCTTAACAGTTGTGTCGGAACTTGCAGATATAACTGTACAGATATTAATAATGATTGAGAAATTGGCATGTAAGAGATTAAGAATTTTATAATAATATTAAAGACTTTAGAAGCGTGTACATACGATTTTTGCCACCGCAACATAGCACTATATCATTGACCCAATCTGTATGGTGTTCCATAGATTGAATATATGGTTCTTTCATATTTCTACAATTCCATATCCTTATGATGCTATCTCTACCAGCAGAGTATAGCCTATGCAGAACTGGATCATATTGTAAGGAATTAACACCGGCTCTGTGCTGCTTCTCTACCTCGTCTCTTATAACCATAGAAACCTTTAAGAAAAATTAATTGTGAATTAATATATAGCTCTTTTCTTGTCTTCATAATTTAAATTTTATCATCGGTATCAATGTATCGAATAAGTATAATCATACTTCAACAATGTGTAAACTCCAATTTCTTTACAATATTTGATTCGGATATCTCGAGAGAAATAAAATCAACAAATGTATATGCATTGGATTAAATTCCAAGAAATGAAAAATAAATTTCACAATAAATTTACAAGCGCTATTTTGTACCGGAAACTAACGATTATCTTGTTTAGATGCAACGCGTTATCGTATAATCCTACAAATTAACCGTGACAGGCACTCTAGTTTCCACCCGTCACCGTGGAAACGATTACGATGCCGACTATCCTCGGCACCGATGCTCGCCAGAGGATCGGCAAATTCCTCGTCTTATCATCGGGAGGAGAGAATCTGTCGATCTGTCGTACCTGTACTTTCTTACGGGCGCTCTGCCCGCCCGTCTTGTGAGCTGCCATTATGTCCGGGATTGTTTTATCCAGCGGATCACGGCGATCCTGCGTCGGGATCGGGATGGAAGTGCGTTTCACGGCGTACGTATGTTATACGATTCAAGCTGCGACGACAGTTCCACGTTGCGCTCGATCGTTACGTTGCACTCGCGGCGTCATTCCGTTAATGGTTCGTTAGCACTGTCGTTGTGCGTGTTGCCGATGCCGATCTCACTGCCGGGATGCACGCGTGCGGCAAACGTCGTCGCGCGGCATCCTCATCATCATCATCGTCGTCGTCGTCGTCGTCGCCGTTGTCGCCGTCGTCGTTACCGTCATGATGCACCGAACTCTGATATTGGAACGCGCAGTTGCGTTCAAAAACTTGTTGAGAGAGAAAGAGAGATGGTCCAAGAGGTAGCGCTATTTCTCTCGGTATAGTTCGCAATTCCTCCGCTATTTTGAATAATTTTATCTTCCTTGAATTCTTCCACGCTATATATGTAGAATAACATATATAAAAGATTTATATTCGTTTTTTGCTTGTGCAATTACTGCTAGATTATATTTTATAATGAATTCTTGTATTAAAATCCTCGCATACCGGAGTCTCGTAGCAATAGATTTTTTATACTGATGTTATTTATTTAACGCGATCACACGCAGTTACAAATAAAATTATCAGTATATTTATTTGTTTTTCTGTACTTTAGCCATTGATTATTTCTGATAGGCTTTGATATATCTTTGATAGCCTTTGATATTTTATACGATAATCTTTTTCATATCTTGAAAGAAAAATTTACTATTTTAAAAAACACTAAAAATGGACATAGTATGAAAAGGGATTTTTAGATACGCGCTAGTTTTCTAGTTACTCCGAAATGAATCGGATATCTGTGTGTGGATAATAATTTGGTATCCAGCTAATATTTATAATAAATCGATACTCGGATAATACCCGAAAAAATCCGATAATACCAAACATGTTAAAATTTCGAAAAATATGTAAATATATACAGCGGAATTCAATCGCGCGAAAGAACAACCGCGTGAGAACACGACAGCTAGTGCGCGCATGCGCGCGCGCCATCTCCATATGTGTACGCATATGTATGTATGTAGCTAGCATACGAGATATATGTGTGGATTTGCTGTGCACTGCTGTGCGAACGAGAACGAGTGCGAAGGAGTTGGGAGGTGCGGAGTAAAAGTTGATTGAGCGCTGCCAGGAGGCTGCCCTCGATGGATTCGCGTCGTTCGTCGTGTCGTTTACGTCCGCCATCACCAGTTAACCTATCGATACTCGTTTAACGCTCGCGCCGCCACCCCCGTTTACGAGACCCACAACCCACAACCGCGTTTCGCCCTTCGCGATTCTAACCTAAGATATCGCCCACACACGACGGCCGCCGCACGCGAAAGAGAGAGACACGAATGCCATGCTCCTTTGATAGAGACAACACGTCGTCGTCGTCGTCGACACGGACGGACTCTACATCGGCGCGCATCGCCGGAGACGTCGTCGATAGACCGATAAAGGCCCCGACGACCGGGAACGGCGTTCGTCCTAAGTATAGACCCCAGTTTTACAGATATACATACACATACCTGCCTCTCTTGGCCAGTGTCGCAGCTTGTCGTAAATTCGTATCGCGCGGATATGTGGGGTGTGGCTGCCGGTTTGTTGTTCTTTGTTTGCAATATTTTAAGCTTGTACGACGCAGACCATTCAAGAGGTTAGGGTAAATCCTCGTGGCGATAACGATAATTGTCATCCGATGGATTGTAACCTATATCCTAATCGTGTATGCGAATTTATTCCCTTTTTTTTCTTTTTCCTTTTCATATTTTTTGACAATTTCGCAATTTCACGCAACCTTTCGTGATACAACTGTAAGCAGCAACACGCTGCATTTCCGTTAAAATCGCGCTGTTGAAATTATGATTGATTACACATTATGTACGAGAAATGTATATCAAACAAAAGTAAATAAACAAATCAATAAAGATTTGTTTGGTATGTCTCAATTATACTCATATATTTAATACTTTTATTTATAGGTGCAGTTACTATACCCATAAACCTAATACTATCGCTGCGTATAGTAATGTCTGTCCCTTCTTCGTCCTCCAACAATATATCTGACAATAATAAACTAGGCGGCGCTAGTCCTAGTCCAATTGAAGGTATCGAGGGAATACCAGGACCTAGTTCCTTGGATCCTATGCATTCAATATTGCCGCAAGACGAAGAATCTGAGGATTATGGAGATGACGAAGATGAGGGCGATGAAGAGAGTAGCGAAGGAGAAAGTGAAGTAAGCTAATTATATATATATTTGTTTGTTTATAACATCCCTTTTTGATGAATATTAAAATATATAGAGATAACCATTTCAATCATACTCCAATTAACTTAACTGACTATTCAATTAATAGAATTGCCTGCAGCAAAATTTCTAATATATAATTCGTCGTTTCTCTAATTTAATTTTTCTTCCCATGCAATTAAGTTAATTGGAATTTGATGAAAGTATTTCTTAATTTATATGACTAAATGTTGCAACTTGGCTTTTATTTAAAATTTTTTTCAAGTAAATTACAAAACTGAACTACAAATTTAATAATGTTTCAATAATTAATGCTCTATTAATTATATCATTAGATTAGCGACAGTGGATTGTTCTGCGATACCGAATGTACAGCCGAAGTTGAGAGCAACAATGGTCAATCACCTGTATCGCAATCTCAAATGGTTATCCCTGTACAATGTCCAATGTTGCCTACTAACATGTCATCAGATGTTATCCAGCCTCAAAGAAAGCGAAAGAGTGAAACAGATTGTTGTTTACCATGTAAAAAACTTAATCCAGAGGAAAAGTCTCATACTATGTAAGCATTGTATTTTTTATCTTACAAAATACTGTTTGACATGAATTTTAATACTTCTCTTTCTCAGGTCTGCAAGAAAATTAGATGATAAAGGTAAACATGTGAGATGTGTCATTCCTACAAAGGATAACCCTCCTCCAGAATTGAGTAGTTGGCTTTTGCAATTTCAGGTATATGGCTTATGTATTTATAAAGTACTAAAGTAATAATAATAAATCTATATAGTATATATTGATAAGACTCTACAAAATGTAATAGTAAACTTTCTTAAAAATCAAGTAAAAATGATGTTTGTTACAGAGATGGTCAAACGCGGAGAGAATGTTAGCAATAGACGAATTAATAGACAGATGCGAGCCTACACAGGTGCGTCACATGATGCAGGTGATAGAGCCTCAATTTCAGCGAGATTTTATATCGCTCCTGCCGAAAGAGTTAGCGCTATCGGTGTTGGCGTTCCTAGAGCCGAAGGATCTTCTAAGAGCGGCGCAGACCTGTCGAAACTGGCGATTCCTAGCCGACGACAATCTACTGTGGAAAGAAAAGTGCAAGGCGGCCGGCATAGAAGACTTGAAGGATCTGCCACCGCTGAAACGCAAAAACTGCCGTAACGGCAGTCACTCGTCGCCATGGAAACAGGCTTATATGCGACAGCATAATATTAAAATGAACTGGAGAACAAAACCGATCCGTACACCGAAAGTGTTGAAGGGTCATGACGATCATGTTATTACATGTTTACAGTTCTCCGGCAACCGGATAGTTAGTGGTTCCGATGACAATACTCTTAAAGTGTGGTCTGCCGCGACAGGCAAGGTAATTAATTGTAAAGATGAGTACAAATTATGAAAATTCAGCTATTTTGCTAGTGATAGAGAAAGAAAAAAATGAATGTTAAGTATCATGCAATATCGTATTTTCTCGATGTTTCAGTGTTTACGGACATTAGTCGGACATACCGGTGGCGTGTGGTCTTCGCAGATGTCCGGCACGATCGTTATCAGTGGTAGTACGGATCGTACTTTAAAAGTATGGAACGCGGAGACTGGCCATTGTATTCATACTTTATATGGTCATACGTCGACGGTGAGATGTATGCATCTGCACGGTAACAAAGTCGTCAGTGGTAGTAGGGACGCGACGCTAAGAGTGTGGCAAGTGGACACGGGGGAGTGCTTACATGTGCTCGTGGGGCACCTAGCGGCGGTCAGATGTGTGCAATATGATGGAAAGTTGGTGGTCAGTGGTGCCTACGACTACATGGTCAAAGTTTGGAATCCTGAGCGCGAGGAGTGCCTTCATACCTTACAAGGACATACTAACCGCGTTTATTCCCTCCAAGTAAGTGTACTGTTTTACTTTTTTTTAATTTTCGTGCTTGTTGCCTCGCCATTGAAGCCGTTCCTGTTTGCCGTTTTTCTTCGTTAGTTCGACGGTGTGCACGTTGTTAGCGGATCGTTGGACACGAGCATAAGAGTGTGGGAGGTAGAAACTGGTGCTTGTAGACACACTCTGATGGGTCATCAGTCTCTCACCTCGGGGATGGAATTACGCAATAATATTTTAGTATCGGGCAATGCTGATTCTACAGTTAAAGTATGGGACATTGTTAGTGGTCACTGCCTTCAAACTCTCTCCGGTCCGAACAAGCATCAATCAGCGGTTACTTGCCTTCAGTTCAATAGCCATTTTGTGATTACGTCCTCTGACGATGGTACAGTAAAACTCTGGGATGTTAAGACTGGTTTGTATAGTCATTTTGTTTAGAATTTCTTTGATTGGAGTACGCATCGATCTTGTCGAGAACACAACTCGTGTGTTTACAGGTGATTTTATTAGGAATCTAGTTGCTCTGGATAGCGGGGGTAGCGGCGGAGTCGTGTGGAGGATTCGAGCGAGTGATACGAAACTAGTGTGTGCAGTAGGTAGTCGTAATGGTACCGAAGAGACGAAACTGCTTGTCCTCGATTTCGACGTTGAGGTAAAATAGTGCGCTCCACTACGTGGATACAATCGCCCCCTTTGTACGACTTCTGTACATACTTTCAATTAAGTAGTCTAAAAACTAATCTACGCTGTACATGTATTACATGGTGTGATTGTGATAAGACTGTGTACGCATCATAAAAATCGAGTGAAATTTTTGTGAAATGGGGGAATCGAAGTGAATGAGAGAAAGAGAGAAAGGGGGAGAAAAAGAGAGAGTGAGTGAGAGAGAGAAAGAGAGATGTAGCGAATGATCTCCAGGTGGATTAAAGTGCCCGTCGAAAAATTATAATTATATCGTTTTGTCGGTGCGCGCGCGCGTTGTTGTGGTGTACAAACGTGAAATTTATAAGACTCATAAACTTACGGGAAAGAAAACCGAGGAGCTTATCAGTGTACTTCTGAATTTTCGCTGTTATAACGATTCAGTGGAATCACCAACGACGCAAAAGTAGCAAATATCCCTAATTCGAAATTCATTGTAAGTATAACAGGTTTGTTATGTGGGCATTTAGGAGTATTTGTCAACGGTAGCAGACGAATATGATGGGACGACTGAGACGTACTGAAACTACAAGGCAAAATAACATTATATTTGAAGAATCTCATACTTCCTGGAGCACAAACGAGAAAACTATCGACGATAATTTCGACACAATCATTGGGACTATACGGATTTTTTAATAAGAAATTTCAAATGTCTGTCTACATCAAAACATAAGTTTGTATAATTTATTGATCGATTCGCGCGTCAAGCTGATTTTTTTAGCTTCGATATTTCCTGATCATGTAAGACTTTAGATTTTATTACTTACTTGTATAAACATCGTGATCTGGTTAAAAACAAATATTTTTATAAATGTTTACAAGCCGATATTTCCACATTATTGACATTTACTAGAGGAGCATGAGACTCTCAGCAAATGGATTATGAAACAATTCAAATCAATAACACAATTTTTTTTTTTACATTTTTATGTCTATCATAGAAACTTCTCTATTTTAAAATAATTGGGATTAAGATACCCCTTTAATCTGAAATTTTCTGCTGTCTGCCTCACTCTATGCATGATCATGTAGTGAATGTATAGTAGGGAAATAGCATATGAAGAGAATTTCAATTTACAGATATAGTTATTCTAGAATAGAGAAGATCTAGAGTAAAAGATTTTCCAACGTTGCATGTTTCACTCTGTCATGGTGCAATATACAAAAATAGCACACTTGTTCACGTGCAATACAGATTTACAGAACAGTGAACTAATACAAGCTTGCATAAAGCAGGATAATACACTTTTATTTTTGGTTAAAGATTTTTGTCAACAATGAGTGAATTTAGTAAAGGGAGAATATTTGTATTAGCCAGATCTTTTACATTTAACGCGAATTATATAAAGAGGATTTAAATCATCCTGCATCAATTGACAAATTTTACATGGATTCTACTGAATCATATCATGAATAGCATTATTGGTAATGCAATTTGTGCAAATGCATCTTTATTATTGGACCTAGGTTAGACTAGGTGTCGTGTTTATTTGTATATTGCTCAATAGTTTATATTATAAGAATGTGTTACCTGTTGTATCATTTTTTTTTATAAGAAATAGAAAAAAAATGTTGCTACATATTTTAGATTGTTTTTTTTTTTAAATTTATTACAGCTGTACACATGTTCTTGTGCTAAGAAACATATTTTGTACAAAATAAATGTTCGATTTTGACTTCTTTCTACATACCTGTGGACATTATCTTATACTATACGAAGACAAATATAAAAAATACCTTTTAATCCATCATCTTATTTGCTAGACATGGATATTCGCTCAATTTAACTTATTCAATCGTTTTATAGGACATACAAATTTTCAAAAAATGTCTATAGATGTGTCATAATATAACGCCAGATTTTTCTACATAAATTTTACATTGACTTACGTTACGTTTCAACAACAATAATAAGCGTACAACCGTCGCACATTACGTGAAGTAAAGCGTTCTTTTCTCGAAGATCATCTCGTTCGACGAAGTAACGGTCGCCGCATCTGCAGCGATAAAACAACTTGTCCTCGAACACAGACTCCTCAAAATCGCTCGGCGAGAGACGTGCATACACCGGACTATCTTCTAATTCTTCCCTGTCTTCCAATTCTTCTTGTTTGCAGGCTGCATCATATCGCTTTCTCGACTGTGGATGTCCCAATACCTGCCAGGCTTCGGTAACATTGTGAAACTCGTGGCTGTCAGTAGCGCCGCTTTTATCAGGATGAAACTGCAGCAAACGACGCCGATAAGCACGCTTGATCTCTTCGTCAGTGGAGTCCTTGCTGCAGCCGAGTATTTCGTAATAATTCATTCGTATCTTCGATCACAAACACTGATGTTTCCAGGAAAATATAATATGCTTTTGTAGTCAACATAACCTTAAGAGATGATTTACGTTACGTGACCTGCGCCATATTATGCCCAAACAAGGCTACCAATATAAAATCAAATAGACAAGACTACCAATAGTACTAATATGAACCAAATTTGAATATAAATTGCTCAGATTGAACATAATCAATATATATGTTGTAAGAATAGAGATCGCGAGGGCAACGTTTTAGGACTGATGAACATATAGAAAGGTTTGTAATCTCAAATTCTTTCTAATGAAAGCTGGTAACCAGAACCAAAAAATGTCCAATCTCGTGCAAAGTTTAAAAGAGACAGATAATAGAAGAAACATATATCTTTTCTTTCCCTTTTCTTTTTTGGTTTTTGTCATCAAAACATTGTGGGCATAGAAAAACTGCTCAATTTGAAAATTTTAAATATAAAAACAAGTAGTAATCACATGTGATAAATCAAATTTAATGCAATAAACATTTTTAAAAATATTCAATCTGTTCTTGTGCTTAAAAATTTTCATGTTTGTTAGTATTGTTAGATATAATTTTTACATTAATAAGAAGAATAAATTGATTAGGCACTGTCAAATTTCAGCAAAGAAATATATAAATATATAATCAAGATCCAATCGTAAATTATGGTGATGCTTGAAATTAATAAGCTTTAAAAATTAAGAATTGATAAAGATACTTTATTAATTCACGACAACATATTCTGTGTTCGTCGTTTCAATACATTTATCACCGATAAATCTCGATTGCACTCGCGAATCGCATTGCGCATAGTAATGCTAAGAAAGGAACAACGAGACAAATGTTACTTTCGCAATTTTTTACACATTCAGTCATCTAGATTCTCAATCAATGAGTACGATAAACATTAAAACCTGAAAACTGCCAGCGTCTTTCCATATTTGCACCGATGCCGAACAATTCCTGTTTAAAGACTTGTGGAAAACGCTGCATTAAAACTTCGACTTCATTAGGCTTAATGCCAGGCTCCATTTTTTGCAGATAAGACCACAGGTAATCCACGCTCGCGCCGAATGGATGGATATGTAAAAATGTCGCTATGAGTCCTATAATATATCATACATCATTAACAAAAATCATAATTAACATTGCAAAGGCGTCGAAAAGCTATTTTTTAAAATCATTTCTAAGTTTTTTCACGTTATTGAAACAATCTTTTTCTATCAAAACTATGGATATATTTACCGATGAGCTTGGCATCCTTTTGAGTGACTTGTATGAAGCTGGATGCAAGAATGTGCTGCTTCGGCGTACGCGGCTCCTCGCTTATATCGTCGTCTTTGTCGAGAGTGATAATCTCACTCTCCCTAGGCTCTTCTTTTTTTGTAGCATTCAGCTTGATAGTCAAATCCTTGATCTTCTGATCGTCCTGCGCTTGCTGCTTACGCGACTGCATCAGCTGCTCCTGCATGCCCTTCAGTGTTTGTTGCAGCATCTTCATTTGCTTTTCCTTCGCCTCTAACTCTGCTTTCGTTTCAGATTTCAAGAGATCCACCTAGGAAATTTAAATTTAAATTTTATGTAAATCTCTCGCCTTTGAATCACTTTGTTCATGTTCATTGTAACATAATACGCACTTCGTTTTTGTATGCTTCCAGCTGGCATCTCAGACTGTCGTTCTCCTCCTTGAGACTTTGCAGTCTCTCGATGTCCTCGGTGTTGTCAGACTGATTGCGTGTTTTCTTACGTTGCGGTTCTTCTTCCGAATCCGATACGTCCATTTCACCCTCGCCTTCAATTAGACTATCTTCCAGTTGCACTGCTTTTATTTCCTGTCATTACGAACAGTAAAAATTACAAAGTGCATCGATCTGCGGGCATCGCTTTTTCACACAAATGCATGCAAAGTATGTAGTTTCCTATATCAAACAATGGTATTTAAATATACGTCCCTAAACGTGATTGGCTCTATGATTTGTATATATATAATATACTGCTAATCTCTCTCTTTTTTTATGTTACATAATCAATTTCTGTAATTCAGAGTTGAGATACATAAGGCAATACAATTTTTTCTCAGTTTTTATTAAGCATTTCCAGGACTTGTGCCTCTTTGGAACACTTTGGGCTTACCTGAACTTAAGAAGCAGAGATGCAGCTCTGAAGTACAGAAATAATAGAAGTATTGTATATTGAGTAATACTGTTCGGGAAAATGAGGCGAATCCATGCTGTCTGATAGTCTGTGGTTGCTTTTCTTCGATCCGGAAGTGTTAATCTCGTATTACCTTCTGTTCCATACGCTGTATTCTTAATGTTGTGCGCGTTGTTGACAGGATTTATTTGCCTTTTACTGTCGCGGCATTCCACGATAAAATACCGAATTATAAACGTACGAAGAAAAGCGAGGTGTCTGACCGTTTTCTTTTTCGCAGGCGGAAATTTGAATCTTTCTCAATTATCGCACTTACCTGTACATATCTTAGAAATACAATTTGCAAAACGAGCATGTTTGGAGGTATCGTGCAAAACGCGCGTAGGAGCATATTGCGATAGACTCTGAGATTGCTTCAAGTTAGATAGATAAGAGAAGGAAGAAGAAGAGACACGCTACTAGCATTGTGGGAGTGCATTACATACATACCGAGGATTGCTTCTTCCACATTTCGATGTTCTTCCGTTGCGCCTTAGTGAAGTGATCCCAGACCTTCTTGTGGCTGGCCGCGGTAAAGACTCGTTCGATCTGACTGACTGTTGATGACATGGTCGCATGTTTGCATACAAAAAACACAACAAATCCACCGTTGTATACCTTTTGCTTGAAACTCTAAGGTTGGTAGTTTCGTCTATGTTTTCTAGTACTCTCTTTACGCGCTCTCTTGTCATGTTTAAATGTTTTAGTTATCATAACATTCCTCTCGATGAACAAAACAGTATCTCCCACCTTTACTAATGAGCGTATTTTTATATACGTATTGTGATACAGCTACGAATAGTCTCACAGAGTCTCATGTAGATTGTGCCGCATTTAATCTAATGTAGTTGGTTTCACCAAACATTCCGTTCTCATTGTTCGCCTTTCCACCTTACTGCGAATAATGTAACCCCAGAAAACTTGCAATTCCTGGATTTCCGATGTTAAGAATTATTTTGAACAAGAGTCAACATTTTGATCTCTTACTTGTTTAACACAGTATTGTATAATTTATACATATATGAATTCGAAAAAGAGAATTATACAAAAGTAGACCTTGCAATTTAAAATAATTTCTTAACACAACGGATATCCAGCCCATCACCCTTATTTCTTAGCATTGTCAAGCATGCAACTTTCAAGTACACTATGGCTTCTATTGAGATAGAATTTGCGATAAACTGCCTTTGCTCGTCAGTTTTGGATCCTAAGTCCGAGAAGATAGGATTTTTCACCCACCTTATCCTCGCCTACTATCCCTGATCCTTCCTACCGAGTCGCCTCCAATCGTGCATTGACCACAAACAGAATTCATATATAACGAACTCGCTATGATACACTTGAGAGATTGCAAAAGTTAGTTACGAGATAGAGAAATACTTTATTGTATATCAAGAGTTATATAATTTTTCATCAAGCGTATCACTTGATATGCAAAAGCCGTTCTTCGGAATATCATACGTCGAAATCGACAAGCTTACAATTCGAGATTTGATATTTTGATACCTGATTAGAATTGGTTGCCATACCTTAATGTCATGAATTGTTACTCTTAATTATCACGTGACGATGTATAACACATACCTTCGTAAGAAAAATCTCTGCTTATTATCGATACTCGATATGTGGCACAAAGATTTTCACACAGTATGAAGAACGTAGTGATATCGCTGTCATTACTTTTACACTATCATGAACGAGATAATTATGAGGTTTTTGTTGCATTTGCTATATCCAAATAAGGAGGAGAGATGATTTCCTCGTTGGGCCTATTTATATGCCAAAGTGAACTTACCAGCCAATGCGGATTTTCTTAGCGCACACGAAATATGTACGATAGTATCGAGCTGTCTTGAAGACAGAGAATAAGAAAGTATGTAAACGTACATTGTATGAGAAGTCCTTGCATCCTTCCCTTCATCAACTCCTTGGCCTTCTGTAATTCTTCCTCATATGAAGCTTTTTCCGTCAGGAGCCGACGCACGTGAGAGTTCGTCGATTGTATCATCGAGTAGAAGGTATTAGCGTTACGCTTGGTGCAATCTCCTCGTTCTAACCACGTTACAACAACCTGCGGAAACCATTTGTGGATTACGGAGAAGTACACAAAGAAATTATTTGTGAATATAATCGCAAATTAAAAAAAAGAGTTGTTGAAAATTGTTATTATTAACCATTTTTATTGTTATTGTTTAATAAATACTCACTTGTACTGCTTTCATAAACGTGTCATCTTGTTTAATTTTTTCACAGATATTGGATGCTTCGTGGTCCGTGTAATGCACTACTGGAGGCGGACTTGATGGCGGTCTTTGTCTCTCCTTTTCCACCCTTTCTCTATGACGTTGTTCCCTTTGCAGTTGTCGCTGCCTGCATTCCCATTCATATTGATCATCTCTAGCCTAAAAATTATTATTAACAATTATGCAAATTAGTAGATAGATAAACATAATATTGGCAGTTACACATTAAGAGATAACAGTTTTTAACAGATAACAAACCTGTGCAAAATCTACATGAAGTCTACCAGTGTTTGCAGGTTCCCCACTAGATCCTATTCTTACTCTATAACCAGATAAATATATCGCTGCATCGACGCTGGCTTCCAACACGAAGCGTATATGACAGAAATTCTTCTTAGAAAGACGCAAAGTAGTTATTTCCCCACATCGTTCAAATATCTCTTGTATTATAGCTTCGGTAATGTTTTCCGGTAAACCTATGTAAAATATTATAGTTATTAGAAAAATCTACGCGATACAAAATAATTGTATTATTATATTCGACGCACAATAATATTTACCTCCGACAAAAATTGTTCTACATCCTGGCGGCCTTTCACGTGTGGTGGGCGGTGGAGCATTCGGATTCGGCGGGAATAGCACACAACTCTTACAATGTACAATCTCTTTAGTACCTTGAGGCGTTGTGGGTGGCGGCGGCAAGCTCGCGTTCATTATTTGCGCCGCGTCCGTCATTATTTGCTCGGCATTAAGTATCTGAGCACCTATCATACTGCCATCATGCGACATCATGCTCATACCCATCGGATTGTAGCCGTGTGTGTGACTCATGTGCGGACCCAGTGCCATTTCGCCCATCATGGGTGCCATCGGTCCCATGGGGCCCATACCCATCATGGGATAACCCACTCCCATTCCCCAGACACCGGCGGATTCCATCTGCGTGCCGATATTCGGTGTATTATTCGTATTCGTCGACGATAAAACTTCGTTGTTGCTCGAGTTGTTGGAGTGATTATTATTATTCTTGGAGGAATTCGTGCTATTTCTCTCCTCGATTCTTCGGTCGTCCCTTCTGTCTCGTTCGTTTCTCTCCTCCCTTCTTTCCCGATCTCTGTCGCGTCTATCGCTGCGTTCGCTCCTTGACCTTTTGCAAGATAACATATGAATTATAATTAGAGTTACAGATATATTCTGTAAAGCTTATGTAACTTAAAATTATTCTCTTTATCATCTTTTTATATAATAGAATACAGATAATACTAAGATATTACCTTCTATTGTTATCTCGTGTATCGCGACTATCCCTATTCTCCCGATCTCTCCTATTATCATTCTTATCGCTTCTTCTGTCGCTACTGTCGTCTGAAGTTTCTCGTACTATCGGCGGCTGATTCTTATTCGTACTAAACTCTAGAGGCGAGTCGTTCATTCCAGGCAGTGGTATGGGTGGTGGTGGCAGCGGTGGGAATCCTTGACCCGCAAGCTCCATAAAGCTTTGTGGTCCCGCTATAGGGCCCAGTGGACCTATTGGTCCCATACCTGTGAATTATGTAATATTAAAATGTACAGAATGTTTTGAATGATCTAATGATTTATTTAAATTATAAAATTGTCTTAAATTTATTATTGTAACAAAGTTCCTAATTTTATATTTATATTGTTAAACCACATATATATATATAAGATTTTATTGTTATAAATTTTTTTTATATAGTATTTTTTTCCTTATAATTATCTTATCCATTTTACAAATAATTTTGTACATCAATGAACATTTTGGTTTTAGAATTATAGAATCTGAAGTCTCTCAGTGATAAAAATATCTTTACAACTACGATGCCTTCTTCAGTCTCCAGTTTTGTTCTTTTTGTTTCTAATAACTAAAACTTTCGATTCTAATAACTCCGAAATAGCCTAGTAGTTATATCGTAACACAAGCCATAGACATATGACACAAGCATATATTTTTTTTATTAATGTTCCTGTAATATTTAAATATTCTCATCTAGAAAAATTATAGCTATGCCCCAGTTAACTCTTCTGACCTTCTGTTCTAGAATTATCTGTGTAAATAGTCGTCGTAATTTTTGTAGAAGACAAATTCTAGATTAATGATGGTTAAAGAATTAATCAGCCTCACCCATGGGTGGCATAGCGGTCGCCGGTACCCCGGGAAAATTATAAGCCATTTCTTGTGAGAGAATCTCCTAATTCCGTTTAGGAGACAAGATGATAACGGGGTGAAACTACTGCGGAGATATTCTGCTCGTTGTCGTCGAAGTCACGGAGATGGCGGAGATGGATATACAACAGAGTGGCTATAATCGTATGTAATCATATAGCGCAGTGATAGTGCCGATGCATATGACAGATGACACTACCATCGTCTTGCATCATTTGCAATCTGCAATGTCACGTGTTGGCCTATTATGTGCTTACACCGACAAGATACTAGATACTATTAAAGACCGCTGGCTCTAGGAAAATTTTCGTGACTACCTAGTGGTCCCACCTTTGAAGATAATTACACGAGTTATTTAAATCATACAATTATTTTATCTCATCCAATTATTTTGTTTTATTATCGAAAATATATTGTTTGAAGAAAAACAAAATAAACATTTTATTGTACTAAATTATTATTTTATTACCGACTATATAAAGATTTATTTATCTGCAGTAGCGCGCAACGAGTTTTTTTTTCCAATCACGCCAAATCTCGTAACCATCGGTCTTTAATGATATCTCGTCGATGGTGTTTACCATGTTTGTTATTATTCTTTTGTTATGTATATGATAAAAAAATTTGTTTCTCTCATGAGATGATAATGAAACAGATGAGGTAATAAATTTTCATATATATACACCGCATATCTGGATTTCTTAACTTGGATTAAAATATGCAGAAATTTTCTTGATTTATTATTCTTTCTTTTGCAGAGTAAAACAATTTATATATGATACAACACTGTGTGTATTGATATATTTTCAGTCGCTGTTATGCTCAGCTGTTTTCTTGCATTTGCTCCTTCTCCGAAAAATAAATCTATATTATGGATCTTCCTTATTTTGTATATCTCTCTATTTTGAGACAATGATCTTCCCGTAAACTGAAATTTCTTTCGTGACAAAAATAGATCCGCTAATGCAAAGAATGTAAAAATTTATCACTGGAAATTGTAGAAAAAAAACGTGGTATTATTTCTAATAAAAGAATGGATATCTATTAATGAATATCTAATCTAAGAATAGAGATTGAGAGGAAATTCCAGAACAGAAAGGTGGTACGTGTAGTATTTGCTTTATTTCTAGTAGAGAAAATGTGTACACAAGTGCAGCTAAAAAGAGCAACCACCTGCTATCACGTGCTGTTCCGTTTGGTTGCCATTTTAATAATGACTGATGGTATAAACATAGATGGCCGTCTGTCAATGAATGTCAAGTTTCGTTAAGGCGTCTTTGTGATGCTTTATCGTGCAATTATGTGCCTGTATATTTACTTTTCACATCTTACATTGAGTATAATAATATGTAGCACAGTTTGCTCAAGGTACGTTCTTTCATTTCTTCGCAGATCTTTGAGTTATGACACGTTTGTTTGTGTACACATCTCACAGTAGTATGTTTGTTTATCAAGTAGATCTGAGTACATGAAAACAACACATAAAAACGAAAACAAAGATACCTACACATTTCTCATTCTTTTCGTGAAATAAATTGTATTAGAAAAGCGTACGTTACACTAATTAAATTTGTTTAATTTATATTTATATCATAATATGTGGATATAATCTATGTAAATTTATTAGATTTTAGCTAATATGACAATAGGTTAATTTGGGATACAAGCTCTTGTAATTATATATCGCTTGTTAGAGATAGAGAGAAATAGAGATACAAAGAAGTTTATGTAAAAGATTCTCTAAATTTTCTTTCTTAAAATTCTTTTTACTTTCCTACACCTTTTTTATTAGTATAGTTCTAGTTTAGTATGTATTTTATATTGATAGGAATCCAAATATATAGTTTAAAAAAATTCATGGAGTAAAATTCTTCTAAATTTCTATTGAGCTATACAAGATAAATTAAATAATTATATGAAAAATGAGACATATATATATATCTATATATACAGTGTGGTAACTGGCAACAATTAATAGTGCAAATTATATTTTACATAAAAGAATGATTTTTATACTTAAAAGCTCAAGTATAAAGTGTCATATCACTTTATTTAATCAATCATAACATTCAATAATACATAATTTAACTGATAAATGTATTCTGTTTAAATTTTTACATAAGGACATGCGTTTTGTTATGTTACGATACATTCGATTGTAGGTAATACCTAGTTTTCAATATCGTAGGCAACTATGTCGTATGGAGTTTTGACAAGATTCGAAACATATCTCAACGCGCTCCATTTTGTAATTTACATACGTAATACAAACAATGAGACTTGAATAGCATATGTGAGATTGTATTTACATGAATAACTTCGTTATTGCGCGCTTTGCATGCTAACAAATAATTTATTGTATTTTATCCATATGTACTCTTGTTTGACTGAATCCTTAAGTATCAATGGCAAGAATCTCTTTTCGCGTTTTCCTTTTCTCTTTCAAGAATTTTACTGCAGCTGCAGTAAAGATGATGCCTTGAATTACGATGTAACTTACAAAGTACAAATAATATTACACACATGTTTCGAATCCTATTGCATTAAGAGTCAAATGATGGTTGTCGCATTCATTCATCCAAATAACATATGTACATAGTATTCCCTCAAGACCAATCTTCATTGTCCCCATCCCTATTCCCCCAACACAAAGTGAACAGATTAAGGCTCCAGCAGGCTATAGGCTACATTCTACAATGTACAATGTATTATGTACTTTGTTAGTTTTCGTTTCCGCATACAATGTCTGGCTGTGTAATGTGTAGTAAGCGATAGCACCAAGAGACTTCCCACTTTTGCTTGTAAATTTGAATGATTCTTTCGCGACGGAGTGACATACTTTAATGCAATTTAGAAACCAAATTGCGCAATGATCAACATTTATTTCATTCAGTAGTTCATATTTAAACTTTGTAACGTATCCATTATATATAATAGACATACTTATTATAAAACAATATACATTTTAACAAAAATGTATATAGACTTATACTTTTATGTGTGAAATATAAAGTTGGATAAAAATAGTAGGCCTTGCCCACCAATATCTGTTAAGAGTTATGTTTCCTTGTTTTTCGTACTTTATGTGTATTGAATGTGATAATGAACACTTAACGGTGTGTTCGATACCGGCAAATTATAAATAGACACATCTAATGTCCTTGTATTACGTTTGATATATTATGCAGTTGACATCACCCATGGCCCCAGCATATTGTATCGACAAATAACTTAATGATTGAAGTATATACGTATACGTATAGTCTTTTTACTCAATTTTCAAATACACGAGATGTCATCGCGCCATTTTAAGTGATCTAAGTCTTAAGGATTACAAGCAATTTGTCTTCTTTTTAAAATGAGAGTCTAAAGAGATATTTCTTTTATACCCGACATGGAACTATTAATTTCGCTATTTTAATTGCACATCAGTACATGTGTAAAAAAAACTTATTTTTTTACATATATCATGTTATATTTATCGTACAGACTTTTCGCTATCCATAATTATGTTCATAAAATGTAAATAACACATTATGCAAATTTTAATATTTGATTCAATTCAATAATGAAATGATAGAAACTATTTTGCTTTGAGTCAGGGTGAACTGTCAAGTGACAGATAAATTGTGCTAGAACAGATTGATGTAGTTGTATAGCGATAAGATTATCAATAAAATAATAACCTCAGTGAATATATATAATATTGTATACCAATTTTTGTTGTATTTGCAATAAATTCTTACAAGCAAAAACGAATATGTAAGTTAAAATATAAATGAACATTATCAGAGAGATATCACTGATGTTATTATATTTTTGATAAAATTTGTAGGAATTTACAAGTTTTATGTCAAAGTTGAAAAACTGCATCCTCTCTTCCAGCATCTGTTCATTACTTCATAACTATATAATTATAGCTTAAATTTATTTTCGCTATTCGTGTTTCACAAATTTTAAGCTATTCAACACATTGAATTGAACTTCAGTTCGATCACTTAACATAAGAGCAAGGATTCCCATTACCCCATTATAAATAGTAAATATTTCTTTTACTTCGACAGTTATTAATCGTTTTTATGTCCATCCGAAGTTAAAGATTATATCTTGCGCTATGCTGCATAATGCGAATATCATGGATATAGTTTTAAAAAAGATGATCAGAATTAAAGCGAAGAAACATTTATACAAAGGTTCCACTGTTGTGAATACTGATCCTATATTTTACAATCATCATATTTATAGAAATAATGCATGTTTATACCAAACTATTCAATATTACATTACTTTATGCCGAACTTGTGTGTGTAAAAATTTAGGGAAATCATAATTTTAATTAATTTCTTTTACACAATTAATAACGCCGAAAATGTTAATTAAATTTCTTTTTTTTTATTGCTTCTTGTAACATACAATATAGAGTCTAGAGGAACCTTGAGTGGTATGCATGAGTCGAAATATCTCTCTAATCAGACGTTACTTAGTATTGTTATAGTTTGCTCCCATGCACATCACACGTCCAGACTTCACTCATGCAGCAAAATGCGCTTTTCTTCTCTTTTTCTTTTAATTATTTCTTTTAATATTATTATTATTATATATAAAAAAATCTATTTCTATTGACTTTTAAGCTCTTTGCCGATACTATACGACACAATTTTGTTCCAGTCGATTTTCGTTCGCATTACCGGCAGTTGTCTTCGCAGTGCCTTAAAGGTGGTGTCGGACATCGTTTGATAATTCTCGGAAATTGCCGTTTGATAATCATTTTCGGATTCTTCGACAAATCTTATCAAATCTTTTGCTGTTTGTTTTTCGTTAGAGATGGGCAGGCTCTCCTTTACTTCTTTGCTACTGACCAATTGTACGTTTCCATCCTCATAGTAATGTACTTGTACTTTGAGGCTACCTCTTAATTCGGCGTTTCCTGAATTTGGAGTGAAACTTACGGTCCAGACCGAACGCCAACGACCGTTCCAGAAGTTTTTAGGTTGAAATTGATGATCTTCTATGCACGCCGTTAGCGTTACGTTTCCTGCATAAAAATTAATGTTATTTCTCGCGTGTGCGACTTGTTTAGGCAATTATTCGAACAAAATAATAATTACCTCCAAAAGATTTCCCAAAAACTGAGCAGGCGCCGTGTCTATAATGACTTTGTGTGTAACTCGTTATCTCATCTTGAAAGGCTGATCTCCAAGGCTCCGCTATAGGATCTGGTTCATAAGGTTCATAATCTTGCGCCTCCTTCCTCAAGTGATCATATTTAAAACTTTGCTTACTACGTGCATCATAAAACCTTTGAGAACTCAAATCATTGTGTTCGGTTATAAGCGCTGGATGATCACTTCCCTCTATCTGTGTGCGAGGAAAAGAACAGAATTGAAATATTTATTTTAGTTTACATATCTGGTTTTATATATGCTACTCAATGCACTGAAAGTTTTGCGAGCATTTATGATTTGATATAGAAAATATATAGACAGAACATCGGATATAATCTTAGTATTCTTATAATATTGTGGAACAAATTATTCACAGCAAAGATAAGAGATATTGCAACATTTCTTTCGGACAGGCAATGTCTAACTTTAGTCGAGTTGTAAGATGTATCAAAATATACCAAAGTAATATTCCAGTGTGAGCAAAAAAAGGAGATAGAAAACAGTTTTTGTTCATATATTAAGAAACATTGCAAACTTGCTACTTGTTACAATGGTGTTGTTACAATTCTCATCACCTTTTGATCAATAGAATTTCTATAATCTAGTATGAAAATATTAAGTATCCGAACCGGTGAAGTGCGAGAGGTGCAAGGGGGATACCGGTCGCGTATCGGTGCCTCGGGTCAAAGCCAAGGTCACCTGTATAAATCCCGGTAATCCCACTTAACCTATTAACGCAGAGAGATAGAGAAAGTAAAGTCAGTGCGATCGCGGATTTTGGGAATCGGAACACTTGAGAAAAGGAGGGCGAGTGAGCGTAAGTACGCGGTGAGGGCGCGAACTCGCGGATTTCATACTTTGGGAAGAAGAAACATCGCGCGTCTGACGATAACAATGACGATGATGATAATGATAATGACGACGACGACGACGATGACAACGTCGACGACGTGGATGAAGATGACGACGATGACGACGACGACGACAGTACCTTAACAGGCGTGAGCTGGTCCTTGTTGTACTGCGCGAAGGCCCCGGACGCGCCCTCCTTCAACAGGTTGTCGTTGTTGAGCAGAACCCTCACGTCGTTGAACACCTCGTTGAACTCCCCCGGTGGCGAGTGCAATATAAAATCCGAGACTATTCGCACTTTTTCCTGGTCCGGAATCGCCGCATCTCCGTCCGCCGCCATCTTACCTTTCCTACTGGCACGCACACTCCGCCGCCACCGCCGCCGATGTCAAAAGCGAGGGTACGGTGCGGTGGTCACGGACAGGTCAGGTTGTGCTGGATCTCTTTTCTCTCTCTCTCTCTCTCTTTCTTCTTGGTTCAGCGTCTCGTGGTGCCGCTCGCAGTGGCGCTTCGCAGCGCCTCGTATACGTATGTACATACCTGGTGATGCGATGCGACCAACTCATCCTAGCACCTCTCTCTCTCTCTCTCTTTCATTCGCGAAAAGAGATAACAGCTACTTCGTCATTCGTGAATCCTCTCCTCACAATATAGCTCATCAAAAAGCCTTGTCGTGGCAGCTCGCGGCTCTCTTCGCGGTCGAAAGACGCGGGGAAAAAAAAAAAAGATCAGCGCGTCGAACGCAAAAGATGGACAGAGAGCGAGAGAGATGGAGGAGGAGGAAGAAGAAGAAGAATAGCCTCGTTAGCACCTCTCTCTCTCTCTCTCTCTCTCTCTCTCTCTCTCTCTCTCTCTCTCTCTCTCTCTCCTTCCTTTCTCCTTTTTTCTTTTCTTTCCGGGTTCCTTCCCCCCGAAGCATCACCACAGTTTCTATACACATCGGACTTTTCTTCTTCACGGCCGCGCTGTTTTCCCTTCAAAACGTCCACCTGCCGTATCGTTATTCATGACGATGATATTTTTGCTTTCGAGAAACTTTTAATGACGGTCAGTATATATAATTGAATGATGTTACGTAAAAATTAAGCTACAAAAATTAAAACTAACAGTAAAGTTATTAATATACTTTTTTTTTACTATTAGTAAATAAATAATACTTATTATTAATAGTACTAAACACTTATATATATATATACTAATATTAATAGCATAAATTTTACTTATTTAATACTTATTAATAATATAATATTTTTATAGTATTTATTAATAGTATTAAATACTATTAATACTAACCAAGTAATACCTAGTCTGAATAAATTTAATTAAAAATATCGAGCTTTTTTCTTGTTAATCTAATCGTTCATATAGATATATGTTTGTGTGCATAATTTTTATTCATTCTTCATTTTTTTTATTTTCTGGATTGATTATTCTTGCGTAACACCCTATGATTATGCACTCGGGTTGTTCGGAGAAAGGGTGCGCAAATGATTTTACAGGTCGGTGATGGGGAAACTTCGAATATTATGTTTGATATTATATATCGCAACTTTTTGTTAAAATGCGATTATATAATCGAGTGCACATAAAGAATACCATTACAAAATATTTTCTTATATATATTAATATTAATGAAGATCCTTGAATCTGGAATAGTCTTTAATTTCGTATTTATATATTTTCCCGAAAATTACATATTTTTTTCTCAATAATTTCTCTTTGATTAGGATGTTAAATTTATTCCGTTATTTCGTAATATTTTTTCTACGACATTTAATAAAGCTTTATACGGAGAGATGATTCATACAGGGTGGAGATCGAATGAGGATGAATCACATTATTTGCTCTCGGAAAAGTCCTTTATATTTAGAGATACAAGTGTTTGGTAGAACACAGTTCTGGATAACCACATATGCATGTGTGTGTGTGTAGCGTTTTAATCTCGAATCTGGCAGCCAAAGCGATAACCAGCGATAATTATTGTCACTTGCATGCGCTCTATATAGTTTTTAGCATAATTTTATTAAATATATAGAGAATATTATCATTATAATTTTATGGCATATACGTATAAAGATAACTATTTAATATAATATCTCTATTTAATCACTCATTCATCTATTTAATATTTCATTAATATTAATATTTATATCTTTTTCTATTAATAATCCGAAGATTGCATACTATTTGCACAAATGCTATCAGTACAATATTTTTGAAGTCTTGTCGGAAAGAAAGTAGAAAAATGTATACAAATGTTTATTTAAAATAACAAATATTAATAAGTATGCTTTTATTTATTAATATTAATTTATCGTTATATGTGTATGTACTCTGAGAAATTACGTATCACTTTGAGATATTATCGTGTCGAGAATAATCGAAATAATATAAACCGAAATTAGCAGAGAATTGTAAAGTCGATTACTCGAATTCTTTTATTCACAAATCATGAATAGATTAAAATCGATAAAATACGTTTAATTATTTTTGTGTGTGCAAATAAATACAATGTGTGGAAAAATAATCATTGTTTTGGTAAGGAAAAGAATTTACAAGAGAGAGACATAGATATGTGTAATATAAATATAATGCTAATTATAAAGAAGGAATGACAATTAATTTGTAGAGAGATTTGTTTCTCTGTCACGTTATTTTTTTCCAAATTATAATCTCTTTTTCTGTTTAGCAATTTATTTATTAACACATTTTATGAATAAATAGCAATATTAATTCTATATTAATTTTTCAGCGTTCGTATGTGCTAATCAACGTTTTAAAGAATTATCAGTTCTAAGTGATCAGTCTATATGTTGGAATTCTGATTGAAAATGGCAGACGATCCGAATCGTGACATTTTGCCCGTAAAAGAAGGCTCTGTCGCGGACACAATTGTTAGTGGGATAGGTTTGTATATGTATACATACATTTTTACGAATTTTTTTACGAGATACAAACATTTTATATGAAAGAGATTCTAATATATTATATATATTTTAGTTTTTATTTTTTTTATTTTATACGATACTCTTTTTATAATATCTAATTTTTGTTTTATTTTTACCAAATATATGCATGATATATAACTATGTGTAACATTTAAAATATGAAAGATCCTAGGGAACGTCATCTCGTTTGCAAGCTCGATCGCTATCAGTTAGAGGACAAGTATCTACGTTTACTCGATGAGACGAACAATCTGAAGAAATTATCAAATTGCCAGGAAGACAAGATTAAGCGGCTCGGTACAAAGTTAATTAGACTGGCCAGTAATCCAAGATCGTGCGGATTAGCGTTAGATATTGCCGACGATAGAAACAAAATGACTGCGCTCGAACTCGAAAACACTAAGGTAGATTCGAAATAACGACAAATCTTCTATATAGCGATACGATAACAGGATTCTTATATTTAGAAGAATCTCATTTTGAAATTACATCGTATTATTTCTGTATGATATATTCTAATAAATTTCTTTATATATTATTTGTGTTAGTATAGTAGATATTATCACAAATTATACTTTTTAATGAAATTAATATAAATGAAAGATTATGATAAAAAGTAGATCATTTTTAAATTCCCTTTAATACCATAAATGTTTTATAGCGTATTTTTATTTATATAAAATTTTAAAAATTTAATACTTTTTTTTTGCGCTAACAATATATTTTTAATGAATATTCTATTAAATGTTTTAGTTGAAGGAGAAAATCGCTGTGATGAGAAATCAATTGTTGAGTCACACGATAAACGGTAGATCGTCATCGCGCAGTCGTAATCTCGTTAGGCCATCGTCTTCCGGACTCGTGTAAGTACAAGCATACTATGAGATATATGCTATGACTCACTGTTGCAGCACAATGAAATACCAAACCGACTTTTTTTAGGACGTGCCGAAGTGAGAATAATCGCACGAGAGTACCGTCCTGTCAGTGTATCGTTGGAGCAGGAGACGATGATAACGACATGCGAAATTACATCCTTAAAATCGAGGTAAAACAGCATACGACAACTCGAAATATTTGCACACATTTAATTTTCGTCATATTTCCTCATTTACCTAATTCAGCAATTATGTTTTAAATAAATACAATAAAATAAATTTATACAGGATAATAGATGATCGGAAATAACAAAAGAGATAGAGTAAAATACTACTCGCATATAAGTTACTTTGCGATTTTATGCCCAGGTGATTAGAGTCTCGCGAATACGTAAAGTTGCTCGTTATTAATGTATTATGCGCCATAATTTCCGCCTAGCGTCCAACCTTTCTTCGTAGAAACTGGAGGCGCAGAAGAAAGATATGGCATGTCGTATAACAGAGTTAGAGAAAGAGCTGGCGCTTTCGACTAGTACTCAAAAGGAGAAGATAGCGGAGAATGTGGAATATATACGAGTCTGGCGACAGATGAAGCAATTGAATGATAAACTAATGACGGCCCAAGAGAAAAACGCCGCGCTGACCACTGAAATTAACGACTTGAAAAAGACTCTTGAACGAACGACGAGGTATATTCGTTAGTTCTCTCTTAAATATATAACATATTACTAGATTTAATAAATTCTTAATGTATGAAATTGATTACATATTATACATTTTTTTCTCTAATAAATCACGTTTCTTGTCAAATATAATAATTGTTAATAAATTTTAAATGCATATATGTATATTTAAAATTTAAATATAATAAAAATATTTTTTGTCAAAAATGGATAGGTTGTTTCTAATTTAAAAATTTATGATTTCTTCAGGAATAATCAGGAGATCGCAGCTGTTCTTACGTTAGAGAGGACGCGCATAGCCGAGATTGACCATCAGATGTTAAAGGCGAAAAGTTCACAACTCACGTTACGCGAGAAAGATGAACAGATACGGGATTTTATGAACGAAATTAAGATATTGCAACAACATAATAATGAGCTTATTGCACTTACTTCGAAATATGGTCAAGTCGAATTCGAGAATATAGAATTAAGAAAAAAGCTTTCTGAAAATACTCAGGACCAACAATCTTTGAAAATAGCATTCAATAATGAGCAGGCTAATATCATAACATTAAAGGCAACAAATGAGCGATTACTCGCGAAACTTCAAGAATTGCAGACAAACATAGATATCTTAACGGTACAAGTAGCGGTTAGTATATCTGTATATATATTTTAGAAATTGTTAATAAATAGTATACTTGAATGATTTCCAATTTTGTGATATTTATAGTCTTTTCATAAGCAAAACGGAAAGTGCGACGCTGTCAACTCAGAAATGACACTATCATCGGACGTAAAGCAATGCATGAAATGTTGTGAGATGTACGACAAAATTATGCAGCTGGAGAAACCTGTCAGCAATACGCGAGAAAGTTTGCAATTGATGGATAAATCGGTACAGACAATAATCATCACTGCCAGCATAAAAGAACAAAGTACAATGACGAGAAGTGAAGAGAAAATAAATGAGAAGAAGACATCGTTGCAGTCGCCGTTGAAAGAATGGAAGACGAATCCGGAAACAAATGGCACGAATGTTTTATCCCGCGAAAAAATATTAAAACTGTTGGATCAGGCGCAGATTAACACACCTCTGGACGCGTCGAGGATGACCCCGAAGGAAGAATATACGGGTATTTTGGACATATCTCAGAGGCACAGGCAAGTCGTACCTCTCGAGAAGCTATTGTTCGGTGATTTTAATTGTTAATAGAGACTTTATCATTTAGTATTATCAGATTTTTGTTATTATTTTCTTTAGTGGTAAAATTTCGCTAACTCATTACAAATGTAAGTATTTATGATAATGTAGCATCGATATTAAAATATTACATGTCTCGTATAAGTAATGGAATTATAATAAATAGTATTAGAACATTCATAGGAAAAGATACATAATTATACCTAATTCTCTTTAGCTAAAATTAGAAAATTGTAAGATAGAAATTTTTTTGTGTAACATCAAATAACAAATATGTATTTTATAAATTCAAGTACAGGCAAAATATATAGCATTTATTGCTATATATTTTGCAACAGCACAAACATCTAACGAAGAAGATTAGTTAAATGTTTGATATTGTGTTAGTTAATGTTAGTTGTGTTAGCGCTTATATGTACATGTTATGTGAGTAGATATATTTTTAACTTTTTCTGCTTATTTCCTTGATTTAATAACTATAATTAACATTTTATATTTCGTATTTGTTGTATTGTAGATTATAGGGAAATCAATAATTTGTGTATCACAGAAAACCTTGTGTGTTCAAAGAGTTATAAAACAGTTTCTTAATATTCTGGAAAAGTATATAGGACATTTTATACGTTCATCAATTTATAAATAAACATATAATTATAATAGCGTTTTATATAATATATATACTCTCATTCTGTTACACTTATTTTTTTATGTCACATTATACTGTGTAAATTTTTATGTTTTATAATACTATATAAAAGATTGGAACATCATTGTATATGATATCATCTTAGGTATTTATTACAGTGATGGAGAAATATCTTCTCGATTACTTCGTGACGAATCAAATCCTGAGAGTTCACAAAAAAGGCTCGCGGAAAATCCGAACCTAGCATTAAATCAAATATTTCTGACTCTGTACGATGTCTTGCAAGAGTACATATCGTTTAGTAATGCCGATGAACGAACATTTCCGAGCCATCAAGTTTCTACGCTCAAGAATTCGTTAATTGATGCTAACAACAACAATCTTTCTGTGATAACTACTCGTGGTATTAAGCAAAACTGTCTTTGCTCAGATGCAGCGGTAAATTTCGGTAATGATAATCGTGTAAGAATGATCGACAAAGATTATACCGTATGCATTGACGAATATATCTATGAAAGCGAAAAGGCAGGCGATATTGTATCCGCAATAATGATAAAAAATGTTACGCGAAATTTAGATTCTGATTATCGTTGTACGAGCTGTGCTCCTCAACGAAGTGCCGTTGATACCAAGGATAGCAGGAATTTCACTTGTGAAAAGAAATCTGCAACTGTCTTAATGAAAGATACTGGTTCATCGATGAAAGGTCCGCTTGACGTTGATTTCTTTCCTTTGATTCATGAGAAGTACAGGAAATCATACCGCGATATCAGTAAAGACTTCTACGTAAGTCAGTGCAAGATGCTTCTCCGGTAAAACGTAAATTTTTTTAATATAGCGTAACACGTCGATGGTTTCCGTTTAGGCAGAAAAGACTGTAAAGAAATTGAAGAGATTAAAGACGCCGCACTACTCTAGATGTAATTTAACGTGCCATTTGCGCAAAGCGAAGGATCCGCTGGAAGAGGAGCAGAACTTACCCTGTAGAATCGAATGTCTAAATGATAGTATGAAATTACCAGTATGCCCGACGGAATGCTTTCCTCTATTAATTACCGATAGGCAAGGTCTCATCGAGATTCACATTTCGCGACTGCAACTTTCTACATCGGTTAGTATCGCGAGTAAAATGATACAAAAGTTTGCCAAGAAGCTTTATGTGTAATATATAACAAATAAAATAATGAACTTGTATTTTATTTTGTACCATCAAAATATTCATGTATTTTAATATCGCGTTGATCATTCTATACTTATCCATTTTTCCCACATAAAACAATGAAATTATAATACAGCATATAAATTATATATTATTAACTTAAAGACTATAAAACGTTGTGCACGATAAGAAATGTGAAATATAAAAAAAAATACTTTTTATTGGATATATGTATATTATATATAGATATATAAAAAGAGTCTATCATTTATATTTTTAAACTGAAAAAAAATCATTTTATTATATTTGCGTTTTGAAATCATCAGGTCGCGAAAATTCCAGAAGAAGAAGACATATGTAATCTTCATATTTACATAAGCTGGGATATTTGGGGCGAAAAGACTGCTTACACGCCGAAAATGAAGTGTCCCAATCTGATCTTCAACTCGTCCTCCGTGTATCGCATAGCGGATCTTTTTTCCTTCTTCAAGAATGTACTGTCGGAATACCTGGTTTTCCGAGTGAACATTGTTCGTCGAAACGACACCAGCTCTACGCTCGCCCGTGCGAAAGTGTCCATCAAGGATATCCTGGATTATCCGCAGAACAAGTTACATTACGTTGTACCTGTGAACAGCGTCATTTCTTGCTTCTTCGGAGTCAATTTTGGTCAGCTATCGCTCTGGGTCCGATTGAGCTGCAACGTCGACATGGTCGAAGCCTTTAAAAAGCAATGCGGCATAACATCACTGCGAGACGTTTTTCCGGAACCTTTGATAAGAAAGGACATGATTGGCATGCCGGAGAAAAGTTTTGTTCCTTCGGTCGACGAGACGACGGTCGAAGATACACGTCCAAAGGATGAAGATCTAAAGGATAGCACGATACACAAAGAGACAAAGGAATTACATATTCGATCGCCCTTAGACATAAGTAATTTCATAATTGCATAATTAAGATTTGTATATTTTTGATTCAAATTTAACTGTGTGTGAGAAACTGCGATTATTAAAGCCGCAGATTATGACACTGAAAACTCGGAAGATGATAATTATTTCAACTCGAATAATGAAGATCTCAATTTTCCCCGCAATGACGAGAGCAAAAAATCCGAAGAGGATAGAACTGCAACAAGATCGTAAGATCTTTTTTGTTATTTCCTTCTTTTATTTAGAAAATCTAATTTGCTATTTTTTGCAAGATATGACAAGAGAAAATCTTACAGAAAAATAGCATCTTGTACAAATTTATCCTTTTTACACACATTACAAAAGTTATATAAACGATTTTAATTAGTCCAGATTCCGACGCACTTACGGATAGCAATAACGAGAGGCAGAGAAGCAACGATCTGAGGGATTCACCGAGCATGAAGGAATTTAGGACTTTAATGGAGAATGTAAGATACGTTACGCAATCTTATGAAAAACTCTCGCGATTGTATGAAAGATAACGAAAACGCTCGATCTGGAAATTATCGAAATTCCGGTCGTATTCAGGACGTTTCGATGCTCGAAGGAAAAGATAGCGTGATCCGCGACTTGGGCGAGATTCTCTCGGAGAAAAACTGGGAGAGGTATAGGCGGAAGAGCCAGCTGATTTCTGCCAGTATAATTAGTAATTAATTACGTCTCCGTACTCACGCATTCATATGCCGATAAAAGTAGCGTTTACTCAACTAGTCGTCCAAAAATATTTGCAGGAGATAAGTCGTTAAACATGGATGTGCAAGATAACCAGCATGACTCTAGCGTACGAGATTGTTCCTTAGTTATACTTGCTCAGTTATACTTAAGATGCTTCGCGAGAAGGATGCTAGATTACGAACATAAACTTTGTGCGATAAAAGCTACCTAGAATACATTTCACTGCCTGGTTATTTAATGAAAATGTAATCTGGGATTTATAATTTTTTTTTAAATTTAATTTAAAATTGATATTTATTTATTAAATGATTAAAATTTATTAAATTTTGCATTGAGATCATTAGTACTATTAATATTATTTACTAGTAATATTATTTTTGATATATTTTTGACGACGTCATCTTTAACAAATATAGTAACGTTGTACACTAGCACACTTCTAATATAGAAGGGTATATCTAAAACTATATTGAAAAGTATATCGATTTCCAAATATATGTAACATTGTGCGTGACATTGTAATTTAGCGTAATTATTAATTCTGACTTTTTATTTTTACCTTTTTCAGCACCTCGAAAAAGATACAATAACCATAGAAATAGTGAGCATACAGCTTCTGGACGAAAGCTTTGTCATGCAAGATGATGAGATACATTTGCTTTATGTGGAATATTCCTTCCTCGGACATTGCGGCGAAGATATGGAAACCGTTTCCGTGACAAAGCCGAAAACAGCTAATCAAGAAATATTCTACAATTTTAAAAGAAGTAAATCTATTATTTATATATAAAGACAAATGCTTTTTTAATCGCAGGAATAATGGAATGAATATTGTGATTTTAGCATTTCGAATAGACGAAAAGACACATCCTGTAGAGAGAAATAGTTTACGCTCCATGTTGGCTGAATCTACAAGTCCAAATGTCAAATTTATTATCATTAGCGAACCATTACCCGAGGAAACAGATATTAAGGATTGCGAAGAGATTGGGTGAGTGCTGTGATTTATTTTATTTGTAGTATTTTTATAGCATTTTGTGTTGTAAAAGCGATACATAAAAATATTCACTCGTTCTCTCTTTGATTATAATAAATAGTTTTAATCTTACGGTGTGCGTAATAAGTCTATATATATATAATACTTAATATTTGATAATGGATCTTTTCTAGTTATGCAATTTTTAATATAAAACAATACGCACTTGGTGATGGCAGCGAATATGTATCATTGCCAATCAAAGATGATCGAAATAGACAAATTGGTACACTGAAGGTAATATATACAAATGGATCATCATTTTATTAATCATTATTAAATATCGATTATTAAATCTCTAAGTTTATTATATTATAGATCGTTGTGTCGGGTTTTGATGTCATTCAACAATGTTTATCGGATATTAAAGCAGTTAACAACGATTAGTATAGCAATGTGGCAAACGGATGTTATATAAGCATCTCGATTATTTACATCTAATTAAAGTTCGCGCGCACACACACATTCGCAAAAGATCAATGTTTTGTCTGAATTAGTCAAGAAAATTAAACCTCTAATCAAATTTACAAATAAAAATTTATTTTAGATCGTCTACATAATGTGTACTTTCTTAAATTATATTGATAAGATATCGAGCAATATTAATATAATTATTAATGCTCAAGAAAAATACAAAGCTTGCACTTTTATAAGATTATATAAATTATTACTAATATAAAAGGCTTTGCATCTTTTTTTTTAGCGATGTGCTACATTTTTTTAAAAATTTGTTATCATTCTATTAATTCTTTAAGAAAGTTTCTTCGCTAAATATATCTAAATTTTTCCTTTCTCTACTTTATTCTGTTGGAACGTATTATTTTGTTGTAACGTGGTATTATGTTGTACTGTATTATTCGAGGTCGAGGCTAGTGTTGCGTTCTCTTTGTCGTTTTCCTGAAGTAATCGTACGATCTCTCGATGTTTTCTTTTCATCTCCGATGATAGTTTAGTACGGCGAAATATGTCGTTAAAAATATTCGTGGCTATCTGAAAGTCCTCACAGTCCCGCGGATTATGAGCGATCGACCAAACCCCAACTATCGTATCGATACCTTGGCATACTCTGCACGCACCTGTGTATCATATCATAGATCTTTTTTTTAATTCTTTAATTTGTTTTTCTCGCGCATAATATAGAATTATAATTTATTTTCGGCCACGCGTCTCGAATACCTGCAAATACCGCCAGAGACTTCGTGCGATTGTCAATGCCGAGCAAGGAGAACGGTCCACCCGCCACGAACGGCGCGTATCCGGTCAGATTCCAGGTGAGATCCAGAAAACCCTGATGAGCGGGCGGTGGCGACAATCTCGCGAGAGTCACGTTTATGGTACAATTAGCGATTTTCATGTCGATTTGCATTCCACCCTGTGTGGTTACCCACGATCCCGATATCTTGCAAGGTAAACCTGAATAGAGTTTAATCCATTTATCAAAAGGTGTTTGTGTGTACATGTTTGAAAATATTTTTTAAATAAATGTTTTGTATTAAACTCTTTGATATTCGGAATAAAATCAGTATGCAAGTTTTTTTTTTTGCTTTATAGTTGTAACGGTAGAATTATTTATGAGGACTGATTTTTCTTTGAAAAAAGTTTTGAGAGAATAAATTTAATATTTAGTAAGTATATCGACTAGTTAAATTTTAAATTAAACTTTACAAGAATGCAGTTACTTATACTTTAATATTGAATGTCTTGCTAATTAAATGTCTTGCTAATTAAGGCTTAATATAGCAAAGTTGAGGAAGAGATTCGAATTAAGTAATAACCTTCTATTTGTTCGTTCTCAGTCGCTCGATCTGATTTAATCTCCTCCAGTTCGTTGACAATCTTTTCTAGTATTTGATTCGCGACTTCCTTGGTTTCGTTTAACGAAGAAACATACGCCCGTCGTGTATCTTCCATCGTCTTCGTCGCGGGTGCAAAATCGCCGTATGTCTTACTATTCGTCAATTCTTCGTTCTTGTCATTTTTGTATCGTTCGTGGAAAATTCGAGCAGCCGCTTTCTGTTTCGTTTTGCGAACTTCCTCGGCCAATGCTAGTTTTTGATCGATACTCTTGTATCGATCTGGTGTGACATATTTCTCTCGATCGGGAATCAAAATATGCTCTACCGGTCGATTGATAATCGAGTGAGAAAGAACCGAAACGTGATTATTGACTTTGTGCGGAGGCTGTCTTGTAGGACCGACAGAATAAATGTATTCATTGAACGCAGATGCGGGCCCAGCATTTTTCTCCGCAACGTATACGTTCAGAGTACCGGGAACTTTACGAAGGATGTGCGGTACGTTCATCGAAGCTCCTGTCGGGCCCCTCGCGTTGGGATAAAGCACCTGCATTTCTTCAGGTTTGCTCATCTCTGATTCGATACTTAAATTAGGATGTAAATGAAGAATGTTCAATCTATTCTGATCTTGTAGCACTTCGCTAGGAATTTGCTCGGTTTCGATTTGGTGACCGAAGATGGTATTCGCGTTGGTGGTAAGAATCTGCGCCAGATCGAGATCAGAATTAATAAAAGTATTAGTAGAAGTTTCTATTCCATTGGCAAACAATACGTTCTTTTTAGAAGATCGATCGATATTCGATATTTGAAATTGATTAAACGTCGGATCTTTTTGAGTTCGTTCGTCGGGAATATAATACAGGCTACCTGGATTGAATTTCTGATCGATTAATATCGGAGAATACGTGGTCATGTAATCGATAGCATTATCTTCCTCTGATTGAGCGATCAGGGAACGACCGCTCTCCCAAGGTTTCAATGAATCGTCATAAATTAAATCTTTATCATAGGAATCTTCGTTTGAGAATTGTCGCTTAAACTGCGAACGATGGTCGAACGGATTGTTGTTGAAGATAGAACTGCTGTTCGAGATTTGCCTGGCTATTCTATCGTTTCCAATTTCCGTTTCGTCTCGTTTCAATTGTACTTTAATTGCCTCGGGATTATTGTTGTTATAATACTCGGAATGTTCGATTCTTTGATCCTTTTTTCGAGAATTCTTCTTTCGCCTTAAGCGTTTTATCATGTTTTCATGTTTTGATGAAATTGCATCATCGATTTTCCGAAACTGTCGCTTCGAATGCGAAGAGTTCGCGATGTTATTTTTTAAGGAACGATGGGCATCGTTTTCAGTTATAGAGTTTCGTTGAATATTATTCTTTATTATTGAGTTGTTCGTTTCATCATTTATGATATTCGGCTGTTTTATGTCGATATGATTAGCAGGTGGATTTATTTTTCGTGGCTCCTTCTAAACAACAGTGCACGTGATTATTCATAGTTAAATTAAGACTTAAATAGAAAAAAGAATGTCTATGTTTAAGATTTATGTTTTGAATTTACAATAATTCTTAAGCGCTTCAGTCATGTTTCTATTCTTCATAAAATTTACAAATATTTCGAAATAAAATTGTCAGAAATTAAATTTGTGGACTTGTCTCTTCTATGACATAAATATCTTATCGTTACAAATTTATAATAAAAAATAGATAATAATAATACAAATAATATAATGATATCTTACCTACCTTAATATAATTTTGTCTGTGTAACCAAGGATAAACTTTGCGCTGTCTTATTCCGTGCCTATGTTTACTCCTCGTCCTTTTCCTTTTTTCTTTATGATTCGACAACTTGCTTAGCTTTCTCATATTTACCGCCGGTTTAAACACACTTTCCATCTCTTTTTGATCTACCAGTAAGTCTTTTACCGCTTTAGAATGATTATATCGAGGCTCGCTTAAATTTGCCAACTTTTTTATATTGCGTTGCAATTGCGGCGATCTGAGAGCTTCATTTGCCAATTTCCGCGCCAAGGATTTAGTCCTTTTTTGTTCGGAATCATCAAGCGCAGCTTTCAAACCTATATTTTCGTCGAATTTTTCAGAGGCTCGTTCATCCAAATTCGATCTTTTCATCATCGCTTCTTTCTTGCATACAATGCTGTTCTGTGTGTAAAAAGGATCCTTTGCAGAAGAGATGATTGATTGTTCGGCGCACGCATCATTGCAAATTATTTCGACTAGCAACGGTATAATCATGACGAACCTGTTTGATCAGAGAAGAAAAGAGCTTTTGTGTATTCATACCGTATCACACAATAAAATTATATCGGCGACTACCTGCCGGAGACAGACGGTGCCAAGTGTACCTGTAGCCTTTGCCTGTGTTTTTCGATATCATTTACAAAAGCATCTGTCACTTTAACGAGAAAATCCCTCTTTTCTCCCGGCTTTTAATTCTAGATTTATGTGTTTTGATCGTAATTCGAGTCTGACGCTTTCGCGCTTTATCGGCGAGAAAATGCACAATCCATTTTCATTTTTCTTCTAACCGCATTCGATAGACAAAAATTTGAGACCGCTAATTGAGACGTGAACAATGCTGTTTTCTCGCATCGTCGATCTCGTTTTGTCGCAGATCTCTTCATTAGATTAAAGGTGCTCTCACATAAAAATATTGTTTATAGCATATTTACACACATTATTCGAATTTTTTAAAATTACATCTGAAGAAATTGCAAACGCAAAGAGTTTATCAAATGTAATGATTGAATTAAGATATAATAATTTATCTTAAACTATTATTTCAAATTTATGTTAAACTATTATTTCAATCTTTTTAATCGTTTTTAATATTTTCGAGAATTATAGCAATGCTTCTTCGCAGAAAAATATTATATCGCATTTGAGTTTTGAGAGTCACATTATTTTTTTTAAGAATAATTAAGCTTTTACGCGATACTAAACGATTAACTCGCAATGCTAATACCAATGTGTAATAGACTCGATACACAAATAGATCTCATCGTCGTCGCTCCCGATCTAGAAACTGCTCTTTAACGGGACGTCACAGTTGATCAATAGCGGAGAGATTGTAGCCGGTACAACACGGGGCCTGTGTATTGCGCCAGTCGTAGTATCGATTTGGATCCGTAGAGAAATCCCTGGAGAGGCGTAGGCATCGATTATTATTAGAAGCGGCCGAAACGCGGCCGATTGACCGCGCCACGAATTAGCCTCCCATAATAATTGTTTTGTAACAATTGTGCGTTTTCATTTTTGCCATTGTGTGTAAAATTGAAATAGCCTTCTACCTCCTGGAAATTAAAATAATCTATGCGGCCTAAACGCGAAAGAAGAGACGGAATTATTGTCATTTTTTCTTCTTTCTCTTTCAAAATTATTTTTAGGAATAAGTTTTGAAAAATAAAAAAATGAAATCTGAAAAATAAAAACTTAATTAAAATGAATTAAAAGATAAATAATGTTGAAGCTAACTCAATGATTGTGAATTTACAAAATAAAATCCTACGTGTCAAAGATATTATCGCACGATTAAAGGAAGAAGATTGGAGAAGCGATTCAGAGCACCGCGTCGAAGACGCCGTCGATGACGACGAGGAGGTAGAGAATAGAAGAAGAAGAAGAAGAAGAATCGGTGCTCGGGCATCGGGACGTGTTGCCGCTGGCATTGGTAGCAGTCTCGAGATAGCCGTCGGCTGGCTTCCTCACCGACTCGGGCGATTTATTCGGGGATTCCTAGGTGGCCGAAGTGGCGAGCGAGCGACTCGACGACGTCTGGAGACCGGTCAGGAGGAAGATCGTCTAATACTAGGGAACCGAGCGATCGTTTTCCCCTTTCATGCGCTAAGGCCGATATACAATCTCCGGGAGAGGGTGGTGGTGAGAGAAAGAGAGAGAAAGAGAGAGAGCCGGAGGAATCTCGGAAGGATCCCGGAGAGGTCAGTGCACAGTTTTCTCTTCTTTCTCTTCCCCCGAGGGACGCCTTCGTCTTCTTCCCCTGATCGCATTTTCCTCCTCTCTGGCTGTCGTTTCGCTCTTCTTTTTCTCGGCCGTCCCGTGTAAGCTCGACTCATTGGTGCTATTTTCGCGCGAGTGTGTTGTGCAAGTGTCGAATGCGCATTAAGGTGGCGATTTCGACGTAGAGCTCGATAGGTCAGGTCATCTTGTGGGGTATCATCAATCTCACTCCGTCCGATCAACCCTCTCGATCGGACGCGCATATTCTCCTGTAAGCGTTATGCTATGTATATGTATATGTATGTATTATATGCAAGGGCAAGAGATTTATAAAATTGTTATATTTTGCTATGAATCGCGCGAGCGTCATTGTCATCAATGATCGGTACCAATATCGATAACTTTGTTTAATTTCCGATGCTGTAGAAATAAGTAAAAACAATTTGCATGCTTATTTATGACATTGTAATTGAGGTTTAGATTGTTTAAAACTAATGTTACTTATAAAAATTTCATTAATCTTGAATATTATTTACATTAATTATGTTTATTCTTATTTCCGCTGTATATAATTTCAGTCTCTAAATACACCGAGACTATAATGTGATACTGAATCAACATAATTGTTGGCACATCGCGTTGGCCTATCACTTATTTTGGAGAAGAAGATTATCGGTCATGTAGCAATAGTCGAAATTAAAGCAATTGACATAGATAGTTATGTCGATGATGGCCTAATAATAATTTTACGATGCGTGGTCTATTCGTCGAATTTTGTTTGACTGTTCTAGATGACAAATATAAAATGTTGACATTTTGCCATGCGGAAGCGTGATAGAATTTCGCGACAATAGTCTTCTTGAATTCCGAGCCTCCCAAACGGTGAAGACATACTAGGCAGATATTTTGTTTGAGCGAGACAGATGCCGATTAATAATGTCGCTAATTAGTATTGTCTGGAATTCGGTGTCGCATCGCCAACAAAACGCCTATTTGTGCGTCCGTTCGAGTTTTCGAAATATTGCATTTAAATAACTCGTTCTACTAAAAAAACAGCTAATGTTTTGCATCAATTTTTTTTGTATCAAAAGATGACACAGGTTCTATTAAATAAAGATAAATCATACAAAGTTTGTCGAGAAAAAGAAGTTCCAATATTAACTTCAATGTCAAATTATAAACTTAGTGACATTTATAGAATTAATTTATTCTCACTAAATCAACTGCTTGATAGATTATGATTGCGAACTGATTTTTTATTATACAAGCATGTATGTATTATGATTATTTTATGATTACGTAGAGTGGTACGAATATTTGCGAAATATGTTTGGCGTCAAAAGGCGAAACAATGAGGCGGCCAACCGAGATAGTGTATACATATAGCATGAAATTTCTGGCCAAATGAAACTCTGCACTGCTCTAGCCTAGTGCTCAAGGTGCTTCACAAAATAGCTGCACTATTTACCTGGCACGGTTTCCCAGAGTCAAGCATCCCAATGAATCAAACTGTAGGAAGGCCAAGTTTTTAGTTTTATGTAAACAGAGCATATGCATATGCGTCGAGGAATTTATATTAAGATTTTATTTAGTCGAAGATGCAAATAAACTTTAGATTTATTTTTAGAAAGACGATCAAAGGTGTAATTAAGTATTAGTAGTATTTTGGAAAAGTCAAATATATCTATATTTTTTAATTTCTTTAAATACAATGAAAAAATATATTTATATTACATTTTTAAAGCAAATCAAGATATGAACGTTAGTAAAAAGCTTCAAGCATTTTTTTATCTTGTCTCAAATTTCTTTTTGCGATACTCAATTTAATTACAATGTTAAAAAGATTATATAATTTTGTCGGATCTTAAATGTTTTTTTCGTTATGTTAAAAAACATTTAAGATCTGACAAAATCATACAATCTTTTTAACACGTTAAAAAATATTATTAGATAGAATAATACAAAAAAGCTCATTTACTGTTATTCGGAAGTAATCTATTTACCTTTTATCTTTAATCAAACCACTACCGGTAATAACCGTCTAAACTGCTAATCTTTGATCGCGACCTGCATTTGAAGTCTTGTCTTCTTATGATGGGGCCATGTGTTTTGGCCATGTGAAGTAGCGAATATATCAACCACCAACACGGTGAACTAGTATATTTCCATTAATGAACATCTCGGAAATCGTGGATTAACGCAAGGTTCTCGATTGCCTCCGTTGTGTCATCGATCGTGATCATAATAATGAATGAATTAAAAAAAAAAATGATAATCTTGCGACATTATAAATATGCATAGGAATTCACGATAAACGCAAACTGTATGATAATTAGCGTAGTACAATAGATTTTTCGCAAATCGTAGTTGCGACTGAAATTCTCTCAATGTTATGATTGGACGCGCGTCGCGGTTTTCCTCAGAGATGAATCATCTCATTCGCATCTCGGTCCCGCGATCCGGCAAGATTCCGGTGATTCGAAAATCGAATGGCGGAAGTGACCCCGATTAGCGGCGAAACAGAAGAAAATGCGGCCAACACCGCGACGAACCGGCGGAGTCAGCCAATCGCGGTGGACGACTGTCGGAAATAGATCTCGATTCTCGAAACTAAAAGGTTGATCCACTGACGCTTACTTTATTCATACGCGCATTACGCATGGCTTATCGTTAGATAATAAATTACGGTAACCAACGACAGGATCAAGGTCTGTTATAGTGGCCGCGATTCTCCGAAGAATCTCTCGTTTTCCTTATAGATATCTATACATAATGTCTTTAATTATAATTTTAACGACAGATCCTTCAATCAGTTTGGGGTAAATTGTGTCTCAATTAAAATATCACGGCCGATTAGTCTTCCAGAAAAAAAAAAAATGATTAAAAGTGGAGAAAACCTGCGTCGCTCCGTTTTAAATATTTATGTCTTTTTTTTCGTGTCATGTTATGGTATAGATTTTTATCAAGATAAATTGAGATACTGATAGCTATTTGTATGATATAAGCAAACGTTTGGTCTATAAAACGCGCATATAGTTGACATTTAGTTGGCAACTAATTCGC